GTTTCTCACTACGGTGGTCTCCGAATCACAGCCAGTCAGGCCATCGAGTACGCGGCATGGGGAAAGGCCAAACAGTTGGCATGGGACAGAGGGTACGACTCCGAAGGCAAGACATGCTACATCTGCTACTACGATGCCGGGAACTGCGCTTATGCTGGTTTCATGAGAATGCTTTTGACTCCGGAAGAGCGCCAAGAATGCTACAGAGGGTCAGTCTTGCCCAAGGAAGAGCTCCTGGGTGACACGGTGGAGCTGGCGCTCGGGCTTCTTACAATTGCAATGAGACACCCAAGTCATTTTCCGAATTGGGGTGGCCTTGAGGGAGCAAATGCGTGCGCGAGGGGAATCGAAAGATCATTCTTCCGCTACGCGTCGGCCGAAGCTATCGAGCTGATCACGGTTGACTCCCCGCGCAAAAGGACACCGCCCAAGAAGAATGAAGCAGTCGCTGAGATCGTCAACAACATGTCCGCTGACCTCGTGATTGATTTCACAGTGATCGTCGATGGTGATATCTACCCTGTAGAGATTGCGAGAACCGACGAGACACAGGCCGCTGACAACGTCACGGACGATCCAGGGTTCTCAGTTGCTCCACCAATACCTGCACAGGATGTAGATGTGGATGCGCAACCCGAAGAAGAACAAGGTGCAGAAGGCCCTGATCCCAGGCATGCAATTCGTGAAGGATTTGTCGCGCAGCTTCAGGACTATGTGGGAGTACTCGCTCAGGGCGAAATGTCGGTCGGAAGCGACCGCCTCACGTTCTGTGTCGCTTGTGGCAGTGATCTACACACTCTGTCCAATTGCACAGAAAATGCTGCGACCCGGGATCTGGTACTTCGAGGCGTCCAGATTATCAAGGAAAGCCTTCTTCGATATCCACGTCGAGTACCTCCACAAGAGGCTGAGCCAATGGACGTTGACACCACAGACCATGTGAGTGTTGCATCCTCGGACCGACGACCCAAGGCCAAAGCCCGACCGCGACGCGGAGGCGAAGCCGTACGGGGTGATGTGGTCTTGATCCGTTATGAGAACAAACACAATCTCTGCACGGATGTGGAGAACCGTCGGGGCCTACATGATGCTTGTGGCGTACCACTGCAGGAATCGGGACCAGAGAATAGCCAGCGAGTGGTGGACCTCATTGAGCAGCTTTCGGACCATCGCGACCGACGCCTACCTCAACGAGGAGACCGTCCTAGCTTTGCTTACGATGATACCACTCATAGCTACACCAATGCAGGCTACGAATCCATCGGCGGCGGAAGGCCAATCCGGTGCGGGATTCTCGACCTGATCCCAACCAAGGGTGCAAGCTTCATCAACAATCGATGGGACCTCGTGAACGAAGTTGTCCTTCGCGACATCACCCGTCAGCGCAGACTGAACGCGGATTGGGCGCTATCATGCATCCAATCTGACCTGCGCCACAGAATCGCCAGGCGCCCAGGCTCGGAATGGCTTGACAACAGGTGCCAGGTGGCATTCAACAGTGTCATCAAATGTGATGAAGGAGGGTGGGTGATGATCGAAGACTTGGTGAGGCATGAGCCACTATGGACCCATGAAAGCAGACGCATCACCGAAGCGGTCTCAAGGACCGATGAGCAACAGAAGAAGAGAGTGTACAATGAAAGACTTCAGCTATTGTTCCAAGGGAACATGATTGCAGCCACGAAACGCCACAAGGCCAAGATTCGGTTGCAGTTCCTGGGTGTGAGAGTGAAGGACCCCGGCACGGAAACTCTTGGATCAGCAGGTTCGAACAGGTTGGTATCGGTTCAGGACCAGATCACGGAGATCCAGAACAATGATCATTGCCGGCACGGCCAGAGGTACCTGAACATGTGCAACGGCTGGGTGAAGCCATGGGCAGTTCGGGCTACGAGTGGTCACTCTGCGCACTCAGATCCCCAGAACAACTTGCTTCAGTTGGACAAGAACAGGTTCGCAATATCTCCATCTATGACCCTCTTGCAACGTCTTGGAGGTGCGTTCCACGCTACGGCATGCCGCAACTTGGATTCCATTGTCACGCAAGGCATCATGCCTGGTTCGGAGGACCCCGACGGGGACTTCGACCATAGGCGCCAATTCCGAGGCAACCAAGGTGGCAGACTCCACAGCTATTGGGGGGTGTTTGCGCCGTTCGATCACCGGAACGCAACGACCAAGATGCGAGTACATGGACGAGACGCCAAGCACATGCCACTGGCGGTCCTTCATGTCCCATCGCAGGACCTTGCACGAGAAGATGGACGTATCACAGACAGCGGCATCGTGATCGTTGGCCGAACGATACCTTTCCATTTCGTCAAGGAGGTATGGTTTTGCGTCCCGGATCCTCGAGATACACACTCTTTCGCTCTGGTGGAAAAGATCTACGATGAACGGTTGGAGAAAGAGCTGGTGTTGGACTACAATGCATCACCGTTGCTTCCTGAGTTCGAGAGATACCGAACGCCAAGCAAGATCATGGAATTGCTTTGCGAGATGCCTCCTGGACCCCACGACACAAGCAAGGAGCAGATCATTCGAGACCTCACGACTGTCCTGGAGTCCCACAGGGAGAACACGGTTCGGCATCACTACATGGACAAAGGAATCAAGTTTGTCATCAAGAATTGGCGACCCGAAGACCTACGCAGAGACGAGGATGGACGGAGAATGAGGGTATGCCCGGCATGCTACAACATCGTTCCAGCATGTTTCTCCCGATGCACGTCTTGCTGGTCACAGTTCGTTTCGAGCGGATATTACCAAGGTTCTCCACAACGGGAGACTCCTACGGAGATCCCCAGTGACTTCATTGCTCAGACAATGGAAGCCGCAGCAGCCGCAGTGCCTGAGGCGCCCGAAGAGGAGCAGGAAGCCATGGAGGTAGAGACCGTTGCGGAACCTGAGGAAATCCCAGAACCATCTGTCATCGCGGAGGACGATCCAGAACAGGAACCTGATGAAGAAATGGACATAGAGCCAGGAGAGGACTTTGATGACGCAGTACCAGAAGCAATTGCACAGGAACGTCGTCCCGTCTTCGTTACCGGCCAGTCTTTGAACATCGATCCTGAGCTACAACTTGCACGTACCGCCATGCAGCCATCCTACTATTCTGGAAAGCGAAATGCCCATTGCATTGACGCGAACATGACCGCTCTTTCGTACATGGCATACGTGGTATGCAGATCCATCTACAAGGCTTGGTCAGGATTCGCAAAGTGGGCGACTATGCCGTTGTTCCAGATGAGGGAAAGTTTCGCACTTGGCCAACGCTATGATGTGCTCGGAAAGTGGGGATCTTTGGCGGCAGTGGATAGGGAAACGGGTGTGAGCAAGGATGTGACTGATGAGGAGATCATTCGCTTTGCCAAGGAACCTGAGAACCTCAAGCAGTATGATCCCAACGGGACTTACACCTTGAAGCGCTTCCGGACGAACCAGATGCTTTCTTTACTTACACGGGGAGCCAACATGATGGGAATTGGCAGGGACAACTTCAACCCTACTACTTACTTGAAGAGCGAAAGGGATGAAGATGTGAAGGCTATGCACTTTTGTTGCCTGAACGTCCTGTGCGAGGTGATTCCAATGGTGACGGGACACCAACAATTCTCAGTGCTACGACCAACGCCAACTGGACCGGTGGACTTCTTGTACATCGACCCCGTCGGTATCCTGCTGACTCATTCTGATCAGTCAGTCCAGACCATCGGCTTGCTGGTGGACCACAGTGTGCAAATGCCTGCGCATTTCATGGACAGATTGAACAGATCCAAGGCTGAGAGACAGCAAAACCCGACGACCAAGCGTACTGAAGCCCTACACCACATTTCGGCCGCTGACTATCTCCCTCCAGGTGGTACTTCCATCCTGGACACGCCTGTCACTACGGAGGAACGTGAAAGCGCTTCTTCGGCCAAGGGACCTTCAAAAGGGCGTGGGAGAACCGGAGGTGAGCAACATGGAGGCTGGAACTCCAACTCCTACTACGACTACACCGCCGGCAAAGGCCGAAACAAAGGCAAGGACAAAGGAAAGCATCGGGAACAGTATCCAGAGGAAAACCTCCGGCCCTGGGACCGCGATCCTGCGACCACGCGAAGATGGAGATGAATCAACGCTTGGTCTTCCTCGCCTATCAGTTCGTGACCTCTGAGCTTCGCCCATGGAATGCCATCGCGAATGCTTCTTTCTTCGGTGACGCCTGATTCGTTTGCCATTTCAGGGGATCGTTACTGACGTAGATGAGTGTCACAACGTTTCTAATTGGGATGCAAAGCTCTGATTTTCAATGTCAACGTTGCGGCGGAACATTTTCTGTTGTCCTATCGTGCCATCTTCCGGGTGAGCAGCGTCGGAGACGCAACTCATGGGGGGTGCGAACGGACTGCGATGCCTTGTCAAGTTCTAAGGTGTCACTATAAGAGCTGTGAGCAAGACCGTGTAAAGTGCAAGAGAAGGGGGCACGCTACGCGTCCCTCGACTCTAAGGGGGCATGCTACGCATCCCTCATCTTTACCTTTCTATGTGACCGCCAACGCAACGTTTGGCTCAAGTCAATGCCCATAGCTAAGTGCTATATGTGTCTTCTATCCTGAGCAATCAGAGCTATCCCGTTGCACAGACGAACCGCCGCCGGCAGTGAGTGCAAAAGGAACGGCCGCCGGTTCTGCCTGCATAGGATTGCACGTGTGGAAGTAAGAGGGAGAGACAGGGTCCAGTCTGTGGAGAGTGCAAGCCAGCCACACCTACATTCATTACAGCTCTGGTGGGGAGAGCAGCAACCAAGTCGAGATCAATCCCCCACGCAACTCTAGACCGAAAAGGACCCGAAGCCAGGCGAAGAAGCACAGCCCACGTTGCCAGCTGAGTGGCAGGGAGCAGCCGCGCGAGGCCCTGCAGAAACAGTCTTTCCTTCAGTTCATCACCTGAGCAGGGTGCTGTCGGTAGGTAACGTAGTTTTTTTTAGGAAGACACGACCATGAAACTATTAATTACAAGTAGGTTCCTGACCACACAGATCCCCAAACAGCAAACTTACTGATCACGACCCGTCCCGTGATATTGATCTCGAGTTGCTGCTTCAGTGAAGACCTTTAACGGGCACGGAAGATAACGAGTTGCCATGTTAATAACAGCTCTTTACGCACCTCATCAAGCAGCTCAAAATTAAGCCCGCATCGCCTACTTACAAGCCAGGACAAGCCACCATCAAAACCCTACTCAACCCTGTAAGCAAAACCCAGAACTACCTGTGGGGGTCACAGCTACAGCTCGCGAACCCTGCCGAGCATCCGTGGCTGTCGCCATCCTCGATGGCCACCCAGGGATGCGATGGAACAATCGCCTTCAGATGGCCAAAATCAAAACAAAAGCAACCGGCTAAGGCTTCGACAAGGGACGGTTTCCAGGACGGAATTGCTGTCTAGCTCCGCAACTCTGATTTCGTGGCATTGGGATTTGACAGACTTTGCCTTGCTGGTTGCAGAAACGTGCTTCTGAATCTCTACATGTTTCCATGCCACGAGGACATGAAACAACCATGGGGCAGGTGCTACAAGTGTAACCGTGAACATCGGGATAAACCTGGCCCTGACTTTTTGCTACAGACGCAATGCTTCGAAGACAGGCCCGTTGGAACCCTAACCGGCTCAAAGTTTAGGGATTAAGGCCTTACTTTTTTGCCTCCCGCCTGGCTAGAACGAAGCTATTAAGGCCTTACTGAAACCAAAACCTTTTGCTCTGCCACTCTACTACGGCCCGGAACCCTTTCTTCCCTACCAAAAACCCGCAACCTGAGGGTGGGTCACGATTAGAATTCGTGGATTCCAGAACTCGAAAGCACAATGCTCAACCCCAGGGCGCCAAGGGCTTGTGACCGATGACACTATATACCATATCCATTACTACAAAGCCCTCAACCTCCAAAACCAGAACCCCCAACCAGTATCCGAGGAAGTCCTGGTAGGATCCCTTAAACAAGCCCTCGAGGTGCCCCATATAACATCCCCTTACCGTACCCATTGAAAGGTACTGTACCAACCCGACAAAATCCTCAAACCCTGTACTCCAGAACCCTCAATCCCTGAGCCCTAAACCCTAAAGCCCTAAACCCCCCTAAACCCTAAACCCTAAATTCCCGAAATTCTGTAAACCAAAACTTTCACCCGGGAAACCCTCCACACCTGGCTCCTCTGCCCTTGTGCGAAGTGCAGCGCCAGGGAGACGCGGAGTTCGGGACTCCTTCCACCCGGTGCTTCTCTCTTCATTAGAATAACTATACTAACAATAACAATAATAACAACAATAATAATAGTATTAATAATAATAACAATAATAACAACAATAAGAATAGGAATAAGAATAACAATAAGCTTCTCTTTTCGTGATGATGACGGTTATCATTATTACTTGAGGGCTTCGATTAAGGGGTTTTCCTAGGGTCTAACAAACGGCTTGTAAGGTTTGTTGTCAAGGCGAGGTTAAGGGGTTTAGGACCTAGTTAGGATTGAGTACGTAGTTTTGAGTGTGAGGGAGAGAGAGTGAGAGAGAGAGAGAGAGAGAGAGAGAGAGACATGTCACAGCACTGAGGGCCGTGGAGTAGCGGCATGGGGCAGGCGTGCTCAAATAATAAACCCGATGTTCGTCTCCATCGCAACGGCGCGAAAGCAAGAGGAAAGCAGCGCAGGACCAATGGAGTCGGAATCCTCCACATCCGCACTCGGAGAAACAAGAACCCGAAGCAACACTCTACCCTGTGTTAGTACAGGTTTCGTCCTCGGCTCTACGCAGAGTGCGGCAAATAGCCGGTCGCATGGCGTGCTGAACCTTTGAGGACAGTGAACTTCAGGGCTCGCAGGTTTTACATATGAGTTTCAAGGCTCACGTTGAAATCGAACAACAAATCCAGAGATGGACAGACATGGAGGTCCACAGTTCCTTAAATAGCACTGCCCCCAACGTCCTCTGGGTGATGGGTGTGGCTGAGAGACAAACTACCACCGTCAGAACTCTAACTCTAGCCCGACCAAAATCCAGAAGCCACTCTGGACCCACAAATTGTTCTCTAACCTTGTTACACATGCCCTCAAGACCGACGTTACCTACTTACGACATCGCCGCCAGCTGTAAACGCCTTTCTCACTCCCCGAAAACCCCAAGCCCCTATATTCAAACAAAGCTCGCTAGCCGGCCAAAAGGATTCACCGACGCAGTCGTCGCGTTCGCGGAGAGGGCCAAGGCAACAGCCAAGAAGCGTGAGCCTTTGGGATCAAGTTTATCCGGATTGTTCTAGATTCGTAGAGAGGGGAGGAGGGGGACGGAATATGCTCGGCAGCTTTGGGCGTACCTTTGGAGGATCTGCGTTATGAGATGTTGTGACCCTTGGACTTGAAATCCGAGGATCAGCCGGTGGGGCTCGCCTCTAGCATTGTGAGGTCGATGTGACATGGGCAGGATAGTGACAGAATTTCAACTGCCTGTTCCAACAGTCGGCACTCCCAACAGCCAGAAGTCACACTGGGTGCCACCGACCCGCCAGCCACCACATCTTTTGGACTAGTTCGAAGGCTCGAAGTTCGGGTGTTGGAGAAAAAGGTGTTGTGTGCCTCGCTTTCGTGTCTTTGTCTGTGCAATTTCCTGGGCTTCTAGGAAGGTCCTGCAGCTTTGCAGCTAAGCTCCGCGAAAACCTCACAATGTCTTTAAGTTTATCCCGAATTTATCCCCCTTTATGCACAGACTTGTATGGTGCCCGCCTGGATCTCAGAGCCGCTGCACTCGTGGCAGTAGCTCTAAGCTTCTGAAGCAACTGCATCATGGAGGAGCCCGCTTATCCCCTAGACCCACAAGCTGAGACTTGAACGCTCCAGAGTTTGTACCAAAGGGCGATGGGCGTCGATCGCTGGTTGCCACGGCTCAGTGGCACCTGCAAACCCAATCTGCTAGTACTGTATGTGTGTGGCATTCATGCCACGCTATGAGGTTTCATATGGTCTCATACGTTGGGGCACAGCAGCGCTTTTAGTTTGCACCATGTACATCCTCCTTCCCAGTTCACAGGTTGCCTCGTTCTGATACCCAACCTATGTTCATCGAAACCCGCTTCGAAACAGCTTGCCTGCATTTGTCCTAGACCCCTTGCAGAGCCCCCTTCCGCCCAGAAATCGGCCACATACTCTGGAACCATGGCCACAGTCTGGTGTGCGAGGGTTTCGGAGATATTTTGCAAAGGAAAGAACAGCCCACTAATCGATAAAGGAAGCCCTGTATTTACATCATAAAGCCTGCGACCCAGAGTCGTAAGCCAAAGAGCAAGAAAAGGCAACAGCACTACTCGAAGCCATCACATGAATTTTACGTACGTTGTCTTGGTGGTGGGGCAGCAATGTGGCCTCAAAAACTTAAGTCGGGCTTTGGAGTATGGTATGGGATACCGGGATAATGTTATCATGATTGAGACCTCTACAGGATATTACTTCTTCGGGGGTCCCGTCTTCTTATGTCTTCCCTGGCACCAACGCCCATGTGTTGCCAGTAGAAACGGCCCAGGGCCGGTGCTATCCGGGTGAAGGCCTGCCAAGCATGAGCAGCTGGCGGTTCCGTTTAGGCTTTAGGGGTGTAGGATCTGGGTGTCTAAGGGTTTCGAATTGGGGTCCTCAGTGGTTCGGGGTGTCGGGTTGGCTTCAAGCTAGGGTCTCGACATGTTGGCGGTGGGACGTCGGGTTTCAGGGAACTCGACGAAACGAGGGCAGCTTGCGCTTTGGGTTTGGAACTTTATCACAGTGTTCAACAAGAGCAGGCACGAAACCAAGGGTTCTGGTGAATTTAGGAACAAATACTGATGCTACAGGAGTATTAGTAATGACAACCGTAAAATGCAACTAGCAGTCGTGTCAGCAATGGTGGCGGCGGACATCATAGTAACAGCTCATGCATCTGGAGGCCTGCGCAGCACGCAAGGCCGCGGTCTCCTGATCATTTGCAGGCTTTGAAGCTTCAAGTTGCGGTGGATGTTGTATGGGAGTTTCCGAAGATAGGGGACCATAATAAAGAACCTTATGAATAAAAAACAAATAGTAGATCTTTTTATAGGGACCCCAAAATGAGGTACCCCTAATTGTCGAAAACTCCCACTCGTATTACAGCCTCTAGACTCTGTTCTATATAGCATACGCGATAGTTTATGTGTCTTAGCCTGCATCGTACGTCACGTGCTGTGAGGCCCCCTGTAATATTACAACTCAGCCGCTGAGAGGCAGCGGCTTCAAATCTTTGACTGTATATAGACAAGGCACGGGAGTGAATCGAGCAACATTCGACGCGACACGACAGCGCTAAAATTGTTGGGGCTGTGTTTGTTGGCAAGGGGCTGGAGCTCATGGTTTAGGTGTGCACTGGCAGCTGTCGGAGCACGGCAGGCAGAGGAACTAACATGCAATTACGTCCAGTTCCCTCCTTCTCGCTACTCTTCGAGCCACTTGAGGGCAGGGCACCACAAGCGACCCCGCCGATTCAAGCCGATTCAACAAGGATTGACGAAGCCACTCTATCAATGCCTCTCCTCGTCAACCAATGCATCAGCCAACAGGGCCTCAGGCAAGAGTTGAATGCATCCGCTATGGCCCACTTCAGTCGACCCGCAAGCCGCAACCCTGTGCGCCGGCAACCCCTCGCGCCCGGTGCTGTCACGGAGGCTTTGATGAGATCAAGCATCAATCATTCCCCTGCTCTTACTCTTGCATTTGTTGAACCCGTCCTTGAAACAGCAATGGAAGCCTGTACCCATGCGCTATAACTACATTTCTTGGTTCAAGGTTCGAAGTTAAGATGCCAGCAGCAGCCCCGAGGACACGACACCAAAATTTGGTTCAGGGGCTTAGAGCTCTATCTAGACAGGTTTGGAGAATCAAAGCCGGCTCGAACATATCTTCGGAGACTGCTCGGAAAAACACGCATGGGTTTTCTTTTGAATATTGAGAATGCAATCTGTCCCTGCGTGTATTTCAGTCTTGCCAAACATTGCATGAACCGCTTTTGGCAGTGGTGCCTCATCGTCCCCTGTCGATTACAGTCAGCCTGCTGTAGACGGTTCGATGGTTCCGAACCCCACGACTCATTAGGGTCGAGCTATGCAGTTTAGGCTCCAGCTCGTCTGACTTCAAAGGCACTTTACAAGATCCTGTGACAGTTGTTTTTTTCGAAGGCTTCTGGCAGCGAGGGTTGAAGGGCAAAGCCACCCTGCATTTCGAACGGGAGTCGAGTCTGGCACCCGGATGGACCATGACTATCGAAGATACATGCACCAGAGGCAAAGCCGTACTTTGCCAAGTTGTTCATCAAGGTCTGTAGCAACTGACCCTCCCATAGTTGTTCATTCAGTTCTGTCCTAGGTCCTAGAAGGCAGTGATGATTCAAGCCCAAAACCCCGTCTTTATTGCAGGCCAGAAGCCAACCTGGTTCCCGAAAGCAGGACTTCAAGCAGCCTGGGGAAATATCTTTCATGCAATGAGAGCTTAGCCAATTTTGCCAGATTGTTGCCAATGCACTTACGAGGGTCCAGGTTGCAGGGTCTGGGGCTTTTGGGTTAAGGGTTCACGGCTGGTTTGGTGTTCTGCTGTCATGACTGATCCTCGAAATTTTGGGGCATGACTAGGAAGTGGAATCACGCTATGCTTGCTGCCGTACTGCTTCTGCTTCAGGCGACAAGGCCGATAAGAAGGAACAACGACCGATAAGAACAAACGTGGACACAACCACTAACAGGAAATCAACACAACGAACACAACCACAATGAACCAACAAGCACAGGAGAGGCGCACCAGCTCAAGCACAACTATGTGCACAAGCACAAGCAGCAGCAACAGCACCAGCACCAGCAGCAGCTACTACTACTACTACTACTACTACTACTACTGCTACTACTACTGCTCTGCTTACGTTTCGAAAATGATCTGCAACCCGTGCAGCCCGTAGCCCGTGTAACACCTTATAGAACTCCTTGTGAAGGAACCCTTATTGGCAACTGATTGGATGGAAGTCTCAAACCCTCATGCCGAGCCTTGCCATGTCTGGAGCTTCTGCACCGGCCTCCTTCCAACGAAAAGGAGGAGGTTAGGGTGTTACTTACTAGTGTTAATAACTAATTACTATACAAGGTTATAGGAAGGAGTTTACCTCCAGGGTGAGGCTTATCAGGTTGCTGCTTGATAAGCCACTTCATCCGCCCATCCACGCTTTCAATGTGATCGTCGCAAGTTGTTGGGGTCTTTGGTGTTTCTTACAAAGGCATGCAACAAGAGGCCCTTTGCAGAGCTCATGTCAGGTTTGCATGCTGCGGGCTCTTAATCTGCTTGTGAAATCTGTTGCAGAGGTCATTGAATATATTTAGGCCTGTATGACACGGCAGCCATACCTTATGAATGCAGCAAGTCTCCTCCAGCTCGGAGCTCAATTCCAGGACCTCCGCCGTGACTCCCCGAAGTGCACGGGCGCCTGACAATTAAGGGTGGATTGAGGCAATTTCGGGGCACAGGGCTGTTTTGCAAATCAAACTCGGCACGGCCACGGTTAAGGGTTTTGATTGTAAGGTTTAGGCAAAACGAAACAGGAAGCGCCAGTAGCATTCCCTGATGGAAGCGACGACAACGACGAAGGTGATCATCATCGATGCAGCGCATAAGTGGTCTGTAGGGGGGCAGAGAGAAAGACAATTGCGCGACGTGCGAATGCACAGGAAGTCTCCGAAACTGAACGCATAAACATGTCAGTTCAAGTGACTATTATAGTGCTGGTAATTAGTAGGGCAGTAGCCGTCGTCGTCGTCGTAGTACTGGTGGTAGTCCTACAGCAGCAAGAGCAGCTGCAACAGTAGCAGTAGCGATTGCTACTGCTACTTGTAGTAGTAGTCGTCGTACGTACAATAACCACTGTAGTTCACACTATGTACTCAACTACTAGGCGGCTGTGGTTTGTGCAGCCATCTGACTGTGGCCCAGCAAGGCCAATCTAATTACATTGCCACAGAAACCCTAAACCCCAAAACCCTCAACCCGTAAACCCTAAACCACTAAACACCCTAACCCCTAAACCCCTTTTTGCTAAAACCTAAACCCAAACGTATTCTTGGGAGATGCCCGGCCGAGATGATGGAGTCTGTTATGCTGCACTGATGTATGTCTGGCAGCCGAATACATGCTCCACTGAACGCGAGTCTGGAAGCACAGAGCCTTCGTTGTGCATGCATGGAATTTGGGCTATGCTTTCTGCATACCACGGCTTACACCAAACTGACTGCAGCAATCTGGGTGATGCATTGAATTTGGATGCATACGATACAGCGTGAAGGGCCTCTGCCCTGTGGTGTCTACTGACTGGAGTGCCGATGCTGGGCCGTTTTTCCTTGCATCGCTGTCGAGCCTACAACCAGAGGAACGTACCAGTCTGGACGCTTAGACGTACAACGCGCATGAACGGAATTTGAGAATTTGAATGCATGTGCAACTGCATGAAGCTGTCGAGCCCTCATCAGCAAGTGGCAACGGTCTGGACATTTGGGCGTCCAACGAGCATGAATGGATTGGGAATTTGTGTGCATGTGTTGCTGCATGTATGGCATTTTGCCAGTGGGGCCAACTGGACTGAGGATGCCGTGATTTCTGTGTTGATGAGTTCACAGTTTGAGGATGATGCGAATAGCTGCAGGATGCAGGTTGAGGTTGATCGTAGCGCGGATAATGTTTGCTGTCGTCAATGTATGATGGCTTGGGCCACATGTGCCTGTCGTGGGACCAGGGAACCTCGCCAAGGCTTGTCCGAGTGTGAGTGCTGAAACCCTAAACCCCCATCATTCGTTCTCGCAGCTGGCGGTGTCCACTGGCCTTCCCGGATCATCAGCACATGATCAGTGGATGGACGAGCCAGGAACACCTCCTCAGCTAGAGCAACTAGCAAGTGAAGGCGCAGCTGAAACGAAGGAGCTGCGCATAAAACAGTGGCTGCTGCAAAAAAATCTATGCGAAGATTCCCCAACACGCTCTTTGACGCAATCGTCACGCATCGCGAACTTTGGTGTCCAAATCGTGCCAATATACACTCGCATTCTTCCGATAATGCGATCCTATAGTCGTCTTGGGCTAAGTGGCCAGGTCGTCTGCGAGTTGCTTCTGTCCAGCTCGTGCCCGACGCAAAACATTGTCAACATTCTGCCTCGCCGCAACTTCAATACTCGTTCCCTTTTCAGCACGGACTGGGGTGCCGGCCAGCACCTACGACACGGCCTACACAACTCTCAGCCCCCTTGTAAGGCAAGAGCTCGCAGGAAAGCTGTGAATGACAACGGACCGAAGCTTAGGCTGAAACTCCTCTGAGAGAAAGAACCGCAATCACTGCACCATCTGTTCAAGGATAGAATATTGACGCTCATCAACGTGTTCGCAGAGTAAAACGCGACGATGTTGCCGCCACATTAATCTAACGATTGCAAGGGAGAGCAAATCCCACTGCAGACGCCATACTCATTCCCTAAACGTTAAATTGCTGAGCCAAAGAAAGATGCGATTCCGGACCTCTAAAATCTACAAGTTACCTCCACAGAAGAATGACGGCTACAGAAAACCAACCCTTCCTGAAGAAATTGGGTGCAGGGCCTCTGCAGCCGCGCTGACATGTCCTGAAAGTAAGACTGTTACCGGCTTTCCGTCTGTAGCTTTTTCGCATAACATGTCCTTTATTTTGCAAACTTTGGGTTCCTGCGTTCTTGGGTGAAGATCTTTGGGTTCTTGGCTTTAGGGCTTTTGGCCTTTGTGTTGTGTTAGTTAGTTCTTGAGTCCCACGGGTTTAACGGTACGCGCACGTGCAACCTTGCTGCCATACGACGTTTAGTTTGCTTCGAGTTGCGTAAGATCTGTTGCTTGACTGTACATCACAATATGGTGACGTGTTTGCGAAAACGATAGCAAAAACTCCATCATCCTAAACTTCCAAGGTGCTATCAGGTGCAAAAGCCTTGATGCCGTGGAAAGCCCTCGACTCTACCTGGCGATCCATGCTCCCCAACTTCAAGTGAATCCCCACTATCCGGAAAACCCAGGCCAAAACAACCTCATGCTCAGGACGAGAGTCGGTGAAGCCCGCAGCAATGGCTCGCTTAGCATCGAAGACCTCTCCAGGGATCATCACTCTGATTACTCTTCGGCTTCGTGTTCCCGTAACCCTGACATGTCAAGCAAGCAACAGCACTGCCGCAGTAGCAACAGCGTCGTGCATAATCGTCGACATGGCACCCGGCCTCCTGGGACAGCACGTGGACTGCTGAGGCCAACGTGTCCAGGCGCCTGCAATGACGCTTGTCTCCGGTAGGTTCCGGAGTTCTGGGCTGCATATATCGAAGTATCTGACCATCTACCTACGTACGTACGAACACGCGACCAAACGGTCCTATATAGTCTCTGTAAAATCGTATATACACACACATTTATGGATATGGAGGAAGAAATACAGAAAGAATGCAGAAATAGATATATGCGATGAAAAGCAACAGTTAAAACAAGCAGACTATAGCAGACTAGTATGTTTACATGCCGGTCGATTGGAATTGTGCTCGAATGGAACAGCTCTCCGAATGGTCATAGAAACAGCAAAAATTGAAGTGCACCCTGGGCTGTGGTCATGATGAGTTCCAGTTCCAAGCCTTGACAAAAGCTCAAGGTTTCTATGGCTTGGTGCCGTAAGCTTTCTTGATCCGTCCTGGCCCTGAATGGAGCGTTCGTGACATTCATCCGGTGCCTCCTGGAGCCGTGAATCGTGGTGGGCACTGCCTATCTGTTCAAAATCTAGCACCAGCAATGTGAACTGCGATAACCACCCCCAAAATGGGACAAGGACCTAGCCCCACACTAACACCCCGGTTCAGACCCTGCTGGCCCGGACGTGTTGGCAGACTGTACGGAGAGCTCTTCCGAGACGCGGCTGACCTGAAAGGCAACGCGATGCATTGAACCAAGCTCAGAGCTTCATAAGAGCTTCGAAGGGGTCTTGATAGGGGCAATGATGAGGGCTCTATACGGATTCTATAATGGTTCTACATAGATTCGATATAAGGGTTCTGCAAAGCTGTAGTTGTCTGTTTGTGTGTGTGCCGTTTTGGAGGAGTCCTACGACTGCGTAACCATGCCATGTATCATAGTCTGACATTCCGAAAGAAAGCCCGGCTTGCAAGGATATGGCGGGCGTGAAAGTGAAGTGATCCCTCCAAGCCATGCCTAAACGCTGTGCTTGCAGCTGGGTCTACTTGAAACCCAAACCCCCTTTCTCCCACTCGACTCAAGTCTAGCCAGACCTCGAACCTCAAACTCAATCATCTTGACTGAAGCCGACATGCAAACCATGGTCGGGGCTGCAGAGCCATCAACCCTCAAACCCGGAAGGCTAAGCGGCAGAACCTCGAACACGAACCGCAAATCCCAATACCCACTCAATACCCCATCAACCCTAAACCCGCTGAAGGAAACCCGAGGGCCTGCTGCGCGATGTAGAAGCAGCCCACTGCAGAGATAGACGCGCCGAGGACATGCGGAACGAGCATGGTGCCTGAGAGCTCAGCGGCTTTCTTTCCCCTCTCGCATAAAAATCTCATCCCGACAGAACCCACCATGGCTGTTTGCTAGAGTCTCGAGAAGCCAGGAACACAGCTTCAAATTGTACTCTAAATCATTGCGGACACTACATCATCTCTTCCAAGACAGGGTTTACACAGTTTTCACATGCCCAGCTGGATATGTACAGCGGAAAAGGCACCGACGCTGACGCCCACCGATGCTGCCGACGCGGCCTCCAAACAGCGCGATTACCTCTCAAATCCCAAACCCTAAACCGATCTATGCCTCACTACATGAATCTGATCTACAGTAGAGAAAACACGGGTGGCCTGCTGCACTTATTGGACAGAAATGATGTGTTCGACCAGCTCGTTGAAATGACAACACGAATCCTAAACTGCCGCAGGCAAGCAGTACAAGACAGGCTAGTTTGCTTGACACTGTCATTACCGGTTGCACAGCACTGCTTGCACTCTACCTTTCTACCTCCGTAAACCCTGATCTCACAATGCGAGACTATTGAAAACTGAAGCGATATCTGTATCTATGTATTTCTGACTGCGTGCGTGCGTAAGCAATTAAGTGTGTATGCATGTGCGCTGTATTTCCTCCTTTTTTGCATACGCCTGTTACTATAATTACTATAGTTACTATAGTTACTATAATTAATATAATTACTATAACTACTATTGTTGCTATAATTACTATTGTTACTATAATTACCATTATTACTATAATTACTATTGTTACTATAATTATTATTGTTACTATTATTACTATTAGATGATTTAAACCTGCGAGGAGGGCCTCGGCGAGGCCGCTCGTGGGCCGATATCCCAGCCGGCCAAGTGCCGCGCGCAGGGGGCGAGCAGAGTCCAGGAGGAGGGTAGACCTCTTGAGCGGCTGTGGGGTTTTAGGGCCAAGGCTTACGTGCAGAGGTCGTTTTCTGCGGCTCTCTCTCTCTCTCTCACTCTCTCTCTCCCTCTTTCTCTCTCTTTCTCTTTTTTTTTTTCTCTCTCTCACTCTCTCTCGAGCGAGAGAGAGTAACTTTTCGGCCCTGTCTGGGTATTTTGGTGCTGTGCAGTATGTGGCTGGTTGAAACTGTACAGGGTTCTGGATATGTTGAAATTAAACTTTTCGTTAACAGTTGTGAGATGTTCGGGGGGTTACATCGGTTTGAGAGTTCAGGGCGGTTCTGCATCAGCTTTCTTCGTGGCTTAGACTGTTTTGGTTCGGCTTCAGGATCCGGAGCGGCGCTGCGACTCAACCGCTTACATGACACATCCAAGATGCTAAGATCAGGTGCTGTCTAGGCTAATAACATCGACAAAATGAGATGCAAAATCGGTATACCGGACACAGGGAAAGCAAGCACACTGAAGCATTCACCCTTTCAGTAGAAGATCTCTGAACCTTCGATTCTTGAAACTTCGAGGAAGAACGTAGACGTGTCCTTCAAACACGGCCCCCTGAACAAGCAATCCAAGCTCGTCTGGATGTTTGACGGTGCTGCTACTGCGAATATTCAATTTTAAGTCAATGTAACCATCAATTGATTGCCCTCGTTCTTATCATTGACACTGCAAAGTCAGTTGGCCTTGTGGCGCTGAGAGGTATTGAGATGAGCAATGCCCGACATGGATCTGTTAAGTTTGGAGCTCGAGGTAACGTGCCGGTGGGCAAATCCAAACAGGGACTCTCGAAAAAGACCCGGAACACCAGGATCCTGACTGTACGGACCCCTAACTGAACCATTAAGATTACATAAGTGATTAAGGACTAGGCCGTGAGTTGTTGGGTTTGTGTTATGGAGTTCAGAAGCTTCGTGGCCGAGTGGCACTGTCAGCCATGCCGGCTTTGGGGCGGCTGCAAGCGTACCTTGAGCAAGGGTTTATCTAAGTTTATCTCGCAGTAAAGATCACATCCAACTAATACCAAAAGTAGGAGCTCTCACCTCCGAAGACTATGCAACATCATAACCAGCTGCCACAACAGTGTCTGCACGGAAACTCTCCGCTGAAGAATAAGGTATAAGGTTTCAGCACAGGGCTCGCAAACCCATCAAACCCCAAAGCCTCAAGATTCCAAGAAGCCTAAACTGGGGAGCCAACAATTTGACTAAGGTTTGGGGGACTACACTACTACACCATATCTAGTTCATGGTTGGTTGGAATAGTACTGAAAGGATAAACTTCTCCTCCTTCTATTGAGTTGAAGTACGTAACTATGCAAAGTAGCACAGCGGAACCACAGAAGAAGGTTTACAAACAGGCTTGCGGGTTTAAAAAGGGTCTTGGGGGTGTTCTTGTTCAGAAACTCGTAGGATTCACCAAACCCTGACCCTGCTTGCGGTGACATGAACTCAGTTCCTGAACATGACCCCAGTCTCGAGGTGATCTGGTCAAAGAACTTCTGGACACAATTTGGTAGCGAAAGCGAGTTGTTCAGCAAAGTTTCCGGGTTTCGGACACATCTACACCTTCAGAAGCACCAAGGGCTGATACCAGAGCTAAAGCAGGTCGTCACTGATCTTTCTGCCCTGTCTGCAGCACTGGCCTGTCACTCGACATCCCAAGAAACTCCTCAGCCAAGGGGCGTAAGTAACTCCTGAGAGAGTGCTCCTGGGTGGCTGCGAGATTTCGAGAAGAACGACTACACGAACTAGGGCGTTGCACCGGCTAGTTGCTGCAGAAATGCTACGAACTTGGCTCAATATTGCGGGGGAGTACCTACGTACTCTCGAATTGTACAAATACGCAGCTGAAGCAACATCCGACACTCCTAGACCTCCATAAATGGCATAGAACCTTGTTACGTTTACGATGCCTGTAGAACAGCTTTCCAAAAAACAGTGCCGTTATACACACAGAAAACAGATACGGTGCAAAAGGGGCAGTAAAGACCAAAAGAACAGTCTCTTGCAAACCCCACGAGCCTAGCGTAAACGCCAATGTAAGTCTCAAACCGCGGCGTGTAAACCTGCAGCGTGAAAACCCTGGAACATCTGTTATACCCTACAACTGTAAGACCTTCACAACACCCCCACGCTCAACTCTCGAAGACCTATAAAAAAACCCAACCCCAACGCTACAAACATAAAATCCAACCCCGAAGCTCTGAACCCCACAGCAACCGTATAGTGCCCGCAGGCCACACTAGAGCCCATGTAATGCCCTTGTAGAACTGCTACAGAACCCCGATGGTACTCTTCACGGAAGCCTAAGACAGCCATAGTCTCGGAGAGGAACTCCGCCGGTAGAGAGGTCAGGCCGACGGCCCTCACCATAGGGCAAAGTTTGGGGGTTTGGGGAGTTCGAAACTGAGGGGCGGATCGCGTTTTTGGCGCACTTAGTGGTATTGGTAGAGTGGTGCGATAGCTTGTGGGGGTTGGGGTGCGGGGCTTCATCGCCCGCGCCTGTGTGTGTGTGTGTGTGCGTCGTATATTCACCTGAAATCACACATTGTTCGCCACTACAGCGATTGGTCGCCTATAACAGATTAGATTAAAGCCCCAATTAAAGGGATCGGTTGTGGGGGTGAGTGGGTCGTATTGGAGATCTAGCGACTTAACTGATTCAAGGTTCGGGGTGTCGAGATTTTGGCGTAACGTCGTAGCTGCAACTTGGCAACTAAACCCTTTCGCAGGGACTTGTATATGCAAGTAAATCCTAAACCCTGAACCCCCTACACCCTAAGTTGACTCATCCATGGGCTCTGCCATCAAACCCGAGTCAAGAGAGTCCCTTCCCATCAGCTGACAAACAGCTAAGTGCCTCTCCCCGTCCGGGGCGACAGCAGCGAGCCGTGCGACCATTCCGGTGAGCCCCGTGGACAATCCGTCGAGGACGGTGGCCGGACTAACCTTGTTCTCTCGCTCTCTGCCTCTCTATGTCTCTGTTGCGCTCGCCTTGCCCTCTCTCTCTCCCTCCTCTCCAAGCCCGAACTAGACTTTAAACCCCTCGTCCAGCCATGATTGTTTTAGTCTTGATACAAATGCGTGCCGGCATGTTCGGTTTGTACAAACACACTGCGCCAGAAATGCCGATCTGCAGACACAAGGAAAAAGGCACGCACGTGCCATATTCAACTGTCCATCCATGCACCCAGCCAGCCAGCCAGCGAGCCATGCATCCATCGCATGCACACACAAAGCACATGTACACGCACACATACACCTTTATACACCATGTACGTATGTACATACGCATATGCCCAGCGATTGCACCGCGTGATACAGAGAAAGAGAGAGAGAGAGAGAGAGAGAGAGAGAGAGAGAGAGAGAGAGAGAGAGAGAGAGACAAAGACAGAGCGATGGAGAAGGACAAAGAGGGCTCCATGCCGTCGTGTTCCTGGAGTCGTGTCTCTTCGCCTTTGAGTATGTTGTTTGTCGTGGCATGAAGCACAGGCAGCTACAAAAACTCGCTGACATGATTCTGTGATTGTATTGCGTTGATGATGGATATGGTTAGGGGGCTTCCCTGCACGGGCTGTCCGGAAGATCTCCGGATTTCCGGGATGTTCCGATGGCATGGACAGGGCTGAGACTCAGGCCGGAAGGGTCCGGGGGCTGGGCCTAGGGGTCAAAAACTTGGGCCAAGGCGTCGCTAAAAAGACGAGTGCAACCGAGCCTGTTTACGTACGAGTTTGGCAAGGGCCCAAGGACCTCAATTTGGAGCAAAACCACCCCATTCTGGCAAATGCTGCAATGCCAATCCTGCGCTGCCACCGTTGATGTAACATACGCACCAATCATCGCATGCTTGGCGGGTCTGCCGGGGTGCCACTTCTGCCCAGGACTCGCAACTTCCTATATCAGTTAAAAGCCGACATGCAGTATAACAGTATAACAAAGGATCAAGCAACAACAAACTATGCAGCCGTTGGCTGTACGAGTATCTGCCCAGACAGCACGGAACCTGCTTCTCGCTACGAATGCGAGCATACTGTCCCAGGGCTGACAGCCCCGTGAGATATCTTCAGCGAAGTAGCATGTACGTAGGAACCCAAGCCGGGTCCTGCAGGTCAGGCCCGCTTCAGGAAGGCTCTGGGATGGCTTGCAATGACCACCGAATCTTGAAGAATTCTGATTCCTTCTTCTTACTCTCCCTGGTTCTTCTTCCGCACGACGTCCGGCAGTTGGCAGTCCAGCCATTTAGGATTCCCCTTTCGCTTCCGGTCTTCGATGCTCGGAAATAAGCTCTCAGATATGCCAAGATAGTCTCACATGCCCCTCATCAAGTTGGTAATGTTGTGAGAAATTTTGGCTTCTGATCAATCCGCACACTACAAGAAACATGGCTGACACTAGCTACCAGCACGGCTCACCTTTTCCCTGAAGGAGCCCTCTATACTCTCACCGGAGCCCGGATGCAATTCGTCAGGTGTTGCATGCAGTGCCCTGAAGCCCCGACTAGGCGAGTTTACGCTTTCCGCTCTGCTTCAGCCTGTCACATGTTGTTTTGCATCCGGGTCGCATTGATGCCAGTAGCCGGGAGTGTTGCTTTATGCAGTCTTTTAGCAGCACAACCGAGCAATCTGCGTCTTAATGATGAACATGATACTTCCATTTCTTCTGGCAGCGCATGTCATGACAGTAAGTATAAACACTGCCAGAATGACAATCAAAAAGAGACAATAGATCACATGAAGCCTTTCCAGTCCAGGTCCTGTGAGGTGCTCCTGAGGCAGACGTCGCATCAAGGTTTCCTCGACGCTTTGCCAGAGCTGCCCTTGCCTGCATCAGAGAAGAGACTGCCAGTGTTTGAGCTAATAAAGATCTCAATTAAACCCTAACCCTGAGGGTCCATCTATCCATATAGTATATACTTTGGGCCCAACGTACCCGAATAGGGAGTTCTTTAAGGCCGAAGTATAATATACTATTTGGGTACATGGACCCTTAGACCTAATGTCTTCGAATCCTAATTAACACCCTACAGTCCCAGCCCCCCCAAAAACCCTGAAAACCTAGAGACTCCTGTACTTGAGTCTAACTGCTAGGGTACAGACTTGAACAGGCTAGTGAAGCTCAGGATTTCTTGCATGCTCGGGATGGAGTTCAGAGCCCTTTCCAGTCTGACGTCGGATTCTTGCAAAGTTTAGGGCTTAGGGTTGACATATTCTTCAGTATCTCTACGAGCTTCAAACAACCCGCTGTTGTGTTGGGCTTTCGGGCTTCTTTCGCCCATCTTGCCTTGTAGCATCAACAGCATCAGCTGGATTCAATGGCACCTTGCAGTAAAAGACAGTCAGGGAGGACAATGATCAGGCACATGTGCGCGGGGATGCGCGGGGGGGGGGGGGGCACAAGCACATGGTCGCACCTGTGCTTCCTTCACGTCCCTCTTTCTCCCTCTCTCTTGATTATCCTGCATTCTTGCTTTGACTGGGCTTGTGACGGCTTGTGGTCTTAGTGTCAGGGACCCAGGAGCTCCAAAACAGACTCCACACAAGCAACAAAACACCACTCCGGTGTGCCACTCAGCCGTGCCACATGGGGAACAAGGTCCAGCGTGTTGACGAAACGCGCCACCCGCAAGGCCCCCGTTGTGAGGCACTTCTCCCGAAAGAAGCTGCGAAATATCTCCTCAGCGCTTCGGGCTTCGGGGCAGTAGTCGATCTCCGCTCCATGCATCACTGGTGGAATCAACAGCCGGATTCGGATCGACTCGTCCTCACAACCACCCTCCCCCCCACCCCCTCTCACGATCTGCCTGCTAAAGCCTAAACCCCTGCGTCGGCCTCTTCAAACTCAGAGCAGAAGACCTTCTGCTACCAGGTGTCGTTGCCGACTCTGGGGCTTCCAAACGTTATCAGCTCCTCGGCAAAGGGCTCTAACAATTTTGGTTCCAGGGTTAGGGGTCCCCTTTTTTTCCTGAAGGGGGGGGGGGGGTCCAAGATTTTCTAAAGGGCTTCTGATTCGGGCCCTGGCATCTTGCGGACTCCTTGATTTTCTGAATACTTTCGGGAGCCGGGACCGTGGGTTGGGGTGCAAGCTAGGATTTCCTGAGGCATGGGCTCTCGCGGAGATGTTGAGGGAAACCCAAGTGAGGGTGCGTGAATAACCCCCATCCATTTACATGACCCTTAACATGGTTATCGTTTTATTTTACACTTATCGTTTTACAGGACTTGGGGTCTGTGTGATCTACTTCATGCGCCTTTTGCCACTCTTATCGTTTTACAGGCAATTGGACTGCGTGTTCTAAAAATCTCGGTTATCGTTCTTTTTTATTCTTATCGTTTTACAAGGCATAGGCAATGTTCTTGACTTAAAGACGCTTTCATCTAAACCCCGATAGCGGTGTTTTATCATCCCTCAAGTAGTGATGCAGAGCAGCACGTACTCACTGGCCGAAAACCCAAGGGAGTAAACGTAGAATCGACTACCTTATAAGAACGCCAAAAGTTGAGAAGTTGAGTTTTTCAGCCAATAAGACATGATTTAGGGCCCTAATAAACCCTATTATAGATCCCTTGTAGACCACTTTAAGAGAGAGCTTCGAGGGTTCAAGGCGCGCCCAGGAATGTGCAGGCGTCTGGAACAAAACTTGAAACCGAACTCTCCGAACAACCCGAGCCAAAGCTAGCCTGTTGTATTACGAGGACTTGAGGTGATTGATCTGAAACTCTTGGCTTAAGCATAAATGGCTTTGATTTTGGTGTTCAAGCGTCGCCAAAGTAGTGCCCTCACACGTCTTTGCCGTCCTCAGAAGGTCCTGAGGAGCCCACCCGAAAAAACTTGGTATCCAAACCCCAAAACGAAACCCTAAACAAATGCTTCGGGTTGAAGCCTTGAAGCCTCGAACTTCCAGTTAACAAAGGCAAGGGACGACCTGCCTGAAGCCTTTGCAGCACAGGTCAAGGGCGCCAAGGGTGGCCAGGGCACCTCCTAAGGAGTAGCCCACAATGACCACCTCAAGAGCGTTTCCAATCAATGGGCATTATGGAGACTGTAAACACATCTTCGACGGCTTTATCTGTATGCTTAAGTCTGCTTACGTCCTGGATGCCTTGATTTCGGCATCCGTGTATGAAGAATCGCATATCAGCACCACCCAGGGACCTAGGTTACAGTATTTGTCAAAGTTCTCGAGCTAACATGTCACGAGCGACCACTGCGATCACTACGACGACGACTACTGCTGCTACAATACGACATGTCTACTGCCGCAGCGACTCGCATAGAATCTCCTCCTCCTCCTCCTCTCCTCCTCCTCTCCTCCTCCTCCTAGGTTTAGGAAGACCAATGCACGAATGCTCACTACAGCATCACGAGGCACATCGTCATTGCCTCCATCACCACCGTCACCACCACGACCACGACCCCCGCCTCCGCCACCAACGCCACTGCAAGCACGACCCGTGCCCTTACCCCCACCTGCACTATCCTCATCAGAATCCTGGTCCTCATCTAGATCATGCACACGGCCATGCTCACTAGCAGCGTCATCATTATCTTCCTCACCGTCGCAGCATCATTATCACATTCGTCCTCTTCTGCTTCGTCAATACTAAGAACAGTCGAGCAGTGGCCACGGCCTTGCGGCTGTCATTAAGCCGCCGCAGCGCCGGGGCCACTCCGAGCCAAGCTGCTTGGAAGCCCTCATGTACATGGCCTGGCCCACTTCGATGAGTCCAGGCACTGCATCCAAAAAGTGCGTGAGCAGTACAATTTAAAGCGAACGTGTGTTCAAATCTTCTGTGAAGCTCGGAACTTCCTCCAAGCACATTGAGCAATGCCTCAACTCTCATCTTCTTGAGACGGCAGCTTTGCTCCTGCCTGTAGCCTCCTCAGCTATGGAGCTGTCCTGACAATCTGGGAGATTGGGGATTCGAAGCCTCTGGCTCAAGCTCTGGCAATCATAGCATCAAAAGCCCGGGTCTTCCACTGTCAAGCACTGATTTTCTGCAAAACCCAATACGCACCTCCGCACCCCCAACTTCAACCAGTGACGTCGTCTCAAGGTTCCGGGACGAGACCCCAACCAAACCTACGAGCGCTGCGCTTGTACGAACCCAGTAGGCTTGACAGTTCGAACAGGGTGTTGCATTGCGCCAAGTATACTCATATACGGACACAAAAATCCGACACCCTCCACGCAGCCCCAGGGTCCAGGGTAGCCAAGCGGATGCGAGCATTGGTCTGCATCCAGCATTCGAGAAATGCCTGCGAAAAGCCGATCATTTTAAGAATCATTATCACAATAAGCTAAATGAATGTATACACAGCATATAAATGTACAGTGTTGCCCTCCTGACTCACAGGTTGGGAAATTCGAACTGTTTTGAGTTGAAGCAGTAGGGTGTCAGTAACCCTTAGTTCCTCATCATTCCTTAAGAACAAAAAATATACCCCGGAATGGGGCTCTTATCAACTATCCTCCAGTACCCCGAAGGCTCCAATTATAGAAATGCTACCTACTCTGTGCTCTGAAAATTGGAAATAGCTACCTAAGACCTACTTTAGTCTATTTGGAGCCTCACGGGTATTATTTGGAGCAGCATGGGTACTAGGGGGCCCCAAGTTAGGGGATCTACTTTTGGGATCCTCCGAACATTTTTGGGTTAAGCCGAAGGTCGCCGGAATCAGATTTAGGTTTCAAGCCTGGGTTCAATCGGGGTTAGTGCCTGTTCCTGGTCGGCCCGACTCCGGGTAGCTCGGATGCCGTCACTAACGCTAAACCCCGACACTTCAAACCCGAAGTTCTCTCACCGTCAAAGCGGTATAAGAACAGGATTTTTTGGGTCTATTACAAGGTATCTTTATATAGGAACCATATGACAGTACGGGGAGAAAGTCCTACTTATCCCGAGCCCTACAAAGATAGTATGATCGCTAGCATGACTATGAAGATTCTCAATGCTGGTACTTCTGCTAAACAGTTGGCATTAATCTTCATTGTTGTAAGTAGTCTTGTTGTTGATGTTGTTGTTACTGCTACTATGTCTAGTACTATTGCCATTGTTATTCTTCTTCTTCGTACTACATCAAAACCCTACACAATACAGGGAACTCCAGAAAGTTGGAATATGGATTAATGGTAGGATCCCCTATAATTTACCTTAAGGGGTTACGATAATGATATTCCAACTTTCTGGCTTCTACTGTAAAGGAACCCTAAACCCCTATAGATCCCTTTAAAGGAACCCCATAGATCCCCTGAAAGGCCCCCTTAATACTTTAAGGCTCTGCAACATGACAGCTAACGTCTAGAACCTTTGGCTGGGGTCTCCAGGCCTCGGGGCGCTGCAGCGCATCCGCCTCGCTCCCGAGCAGGAAGACCTGAAGGGTGCTCACGGCATCCCCGTCAGGGCATCCAATAATAACACTCATACTCATAGCCATACTATAGTAATGATCATAATAATCATAGTAATGCTAGTATTACGAAAAGCAATATATTTTTCTCTCTTCTTCTTTCTCTCTCTGCAGGGTTTGGGGTTTAGGGTTGCGTCCAGAGGGTCTAGCAGCAGCACCAGGCACCGAAGGGAGAGCTATTTGTATTTGTGTGCGACATATCGGTATCTATCCATAATCTACATATGTGTCTACCCACCTACCTACCTTTCCATCTACCTATGCATGTATCTATGGGTCCTTCCACATGCATCAGTATGTATGCATGTATCAGGATTCCATAGTAAAGCATGGTGGCTTGCTTTCTGGAATCCAGAAGCATGGCTTGATACTACACATTGCGCATGACCGGAAGACGTGCAAGAAGTTGTGTGCACACAAGCCCTGCGCGTCAAGAATTTTACTGCCTGCAGACGCCACTGAGCTAGATTGGCCTTGAGCCGAGTATCGGGGTTCCGGTTAGTACGGAACCTTCAGACTCCGAAAACCCGCGCTTCTTAAACAGGAAGACCGTCATCATCCTGAATAAATCTTACATAAGTCCCGAGATCAGAGTTTGAATCCGCAGCGAGAAGGGGCCCTAAGCAAGGAATTTTGGAGTGACTCAGAAACACGCGCCCTCTCTTTTGCCTGGCCTTGGCAGCCTCGGTATCGCTGCCAGGCTGGAAGAAACCCGGGACGTGCTGGCGCAATGGAGGGTTTAGGGGTTTAGGACTATAATTATAAGGGTATTATGAGGGTCTGCAAGGGGTCTGGCTCGGGGCCTAGATTAGGCTTTGGGCTTTCCGCGTAGGGGAGGCTTTGCACATCTCCGAAACAAGGTGGGGAATTCGGAGCTAGAAAGCCAATTGTGGGCATACGAACCACGTTCCAGAAGTAACGCTTGTAGTCAGACGGTCCACGGTCGACCGCGATGTCCAAATACATGCCGCAGCCGGAAGGTTGGATTTGGCAGGTGCCCGAGCCCTCTTGCTGATTTTGAGACAATGACGAGCGAGCCAGAGCCCTCCGGGATCTGGAGTTGCACACAGTGCTTCTGGCTGGAAGCTGGATGTCTTTGTCTCTGTTCTCGGCATGGTGCAGTTGATACTCCCAGCAGAACATTGCACTTCTAGGCCCAAGCCTGACGGCTTAGCAAGATTCTGTTCAACAGAGGTTCAGATCACCGCGGCACAGGTATCCCCAGACTCATAATCTAGACCCCTCATGATTGAAGACAATGCGTGGAAGCTTAAATATTGAACCAGAAACCAAGAACCTTTTTCAAGCCTCAATAATTAAACTTGGCAGACTTAGCCCAAACCCAGCCCACAGTGAATCTTAGCTGAACCTTGGAAAGACCCATTACACACTTTAACATCTCTGTCAAGCAGGACCTCGCCATCTGCGCTCAAGCGAACCAGGCCCTGTCCAGGCTTCTGTTGAGGTCTCTGTCTGGCTTAAGCTTACTTTTGGTTAGTAGGGAATGGAAGAATGGTAGTAATAGTAGCTATGATTGTGCCCCATTCCTCCATTCCCTACTAACCCAAGGTAGGTAAGGTGTGTCAGCAGTTCTATCGTTGATTCTTGGCGACTCATAGCTGTGCCTTCACGGGAAGCTTTCAAGGAAACTATAAAAGCCCTGAACGGTCTTTCGGGTGGAGTCAAGGGCCTAGGAGTCTTGACCATTTGTTCAGGCTTGGTCCACTCTCGACATTATGAAGATACCCAAACTGTGCAGTTTGCACCGTTGCTGTTGCTTTAGAATAAAAATCGGGTGCATAACTGCAGCTACCGGGAAACTGAGATTCTTGACAGCAAGCACTTCCAAGGCACCAAACGCTTGAGGATTCAGTGCGCGGCTACTAGACTCGAATTGACAACCAAAGGCCCGAAAAAACTGCTATCAACCAAAGCCAGAGTCCTCGCAAAAAGCTTGTAAGGTTTCTGCTAGCACCACTTCAACTCAGCGCGCATGTGCCAGCTAAGTCTACAAGCAGCAAACTGCCTGTAGGAACAAATTCACCTCTTGGGGATACCTTCCGTGTGTGACGCCTGTCGGGTCTTCGGAATGGACTTGAGTTATTGAGCTGCTGCGTATTCTATGCACCAGCTCGCTCCGCAAACCCTGTAAAACCCTCAAAGCCTGACAAAACCCCGAAACCCCAAAATCCCTCAACCCTTTTCAACGAAGTCAAATCCCTAAACCCTAAACATCCCTAAACGCTAAATCCTTAGGTCCTTAACAATTAACCCAAACGGGACCTGCTCGTGGCACAGCTGCTCCATCTGCCTTGGATCCTTTGCCTCGGCAGACGGCACGAGATTAGGATTTTTAGGGTGCACGGTTGTGGGCTGCAGGGATCGGGACTGGAGTTGACTTCCCGTTTCAAACTTTGTGAGTGGCTGGATAATTGACATATCCAACACCCGCTCAAACCAGAAAAAGGTCAGTGAAAAGGCTGAGCTGACTCCTCTATTGCTCTATCCAAGCCAACTTGGGAGTGCGGGTGGCAGGTGCTGTGTCAGCCGCCCCGCATGTTCACACAAGCTGTGCTCAACCAGGGTACGTGTAGACGATGCAGCAGTCGGACCAGTGGCAACTGGCAGGTGTGGATCCAAGCTCAACTGACTTCTGCAGAGTGATCGGCTCTGGTCCCCTATAAACACGGCTCGACGAGTGAATGACTGAAAAGGCGTACATCAAACTGCACATCATCTCGCACTACTGCTAGCGGAAAACTTGCATGCTGTGGCATGCCTTTCTCTGAACGTCATCCACAACCTAGAGCATCATCGTCCCCGTCCTTAGTGCTAGCAGCAGACGCAACCACCACCAACACCACCTCATGATCGCTATCACCAGCGGCTGAATTCAAGCGCCACCATGGTTACCATCATACTGACGCTCATCATCCTCAGAAAGCCGACCATCGCCAATACCATCGTCAGCAGCACCGACAAACCGTAGTGATCGTTGTCACTGGCCTCCCGTCCTCCTTCTTCACCTTCTCCGGCTGCTCCTCCAAATCCTCCCTACTCCTCGTCATCATCATCACCGCCACCACCATGATCATAAACACGACCACGCAATGACCATCATCATTGGCGGCAGATTACTAGCAGCACCACTCCCATCACTACCAAAAATCACCACCACTACTCGCACGAGGTGGTGGATGTTAACATGCGTGCATGCGTACCCTGTAATCAAATGCTCCCCACCAGCTCGGAGCCAGCCAGAAGAAGCTGGGCGTAATCAGCGTCACCGTCCTGGAGCCAGTGCTCTTTAAACCTTTAGGAATCAAGGCGTCGAATGTCCTTCTATGTATAGCTCAATTCAATGCTGGGACTCGAGTGCGACGGATTGCACGCGCTGCTTCTATAAGTACGATTCTCTGGAAGGATACGCTGAAAGCATCGAGCCCTTGAGTCTTTGTCCTTCATATCGGTTTGGATTGCGCTGCTGCGTTGGACGTGGCATGATTTGTGGCATGACGGGTTGAATCTCTGAGGATGCCTTGCCTGGACTTCAGGCTCCGCAACCTCCAGAAGGTCAGCAGAGGCCTGTCTCGACCTGAGCGATGAATGCCAGGACGGAGCTTCGAGCACTGCCGGGGGAGGATTGCAGAGGTTCGCTTGGCACTCTTGTTCCAAGCTTCCTCCGAATTTGTGAATCACTCACACCAATCGGAGGCACAACATGTGCTGGGGCCGCAGCCCCACCTCCGACTGTGTAGACTCCGCATCGTCTTCCTGCACGTGTTGGGGTCTGGAGTTGGGTCAATGCAACCACGGATGGAGTATGTGATACTATTACTATTACCCTTACTATTACCGTTACCGTTGCCATAACCATCTCATTACTAGCTAACATCGGCTTCCCAGTAATCAAAAGCACTCAACAATACTGAATACCCTTTTGCGAAACATGTCCCGGGCATTCCTCCGGAGGTGGTAGCGGCCCTCCATTGTCATCTGCATGGCTTGCTGCGTGTTGCGGCTGTCGCGATTCTGAAGCGTCTGCAAGATCTTCAATGCCAACGGGCTCTTGACTGTGAGTCTCGATCTGCGACTGCTCAGTCGGCAGCTGTTGGTCTTGCGCTGCCTGTGCCTTGACGGCAGTGGACACCAATGTTCCGGCCAAGGCCACAGCAGCAAGGGCACCCAGGGCTCCACCACTGGCAACTGCTGCTACACCTGGAAGTGTCCGAAAATGAAGTAGCTACCTAAACAGTGGGATCCCTTTTAGAAGGACCCTAAAAGAACGTATCCCCTAATTTTCGGAAACCCTAAACCCTTTATAGATCCCTTTAGGAACCCTTATGTATCCCTATAAAGGTACCCCTTAATTTTCGGAAACTCCCACCAAGGGCTCCCCCAAGCGCGCCGCTGGCTGCACCCGCCAGGGGCGCCGCCGCGCGGCCCAATGCCTGCTGTAAGCGGCCTTGGGGCCGTTCCTGGGCTCTTGTAAAGGGATTTATAGGGTTTAGGGTTTTAAGGGTTAGGGGCTTCTTGTTAAGGGATTTAGTTCAAGTTACCAGAATATGGAAACCGTCTTATTTAAGTGCTATATAGATCCCCATTATGGTAACTGAAATATTATTAAATTAAATTCCTTAACAAGAACCCAGTTTCCTGGGCTGCCTCACCAGTCTCGCCATCGACTCCACGCCCAGAGCTGCTGCCCTCCGGTGCTGAGTTTCTGGCCGCCAGACTGTCGGTGGCACCGTCAGCGTTGCCGTCGGTGTCGTCTCCGGACGGTGGGACTTGTGCCACTTCGGAACCGTCCGTAGCTTCTCGCATGATGCGAACATGGCGCTTTGCAAGCTCAAAGTGTAGTGTAGTGGAATGTACGGCCTACTTCACGCCAATTCCGGCAGCTACGGAGTAGGACACCCCAACTCCTCGCATCCCGAATCCTTCCCTGTGACAGTATTCAGCACAAGCCTGGCCTCGATGGCCAATGGAAAACGGCTGCAGTGGACAGCGAGACAAGAAGCAGCAAGGAAAGCAAGGGCATGCACTCAAGAGAAATTAAGCTGTTGAAGCATCGGCCATGCAACGCTCGGCGTGGCGATCAGGACAAGCTGTGGTGTTCATTCCACAGGCACAGTTGGCATCGCACAGCTGGAAAGCGGGGGTGGCACAGGTCCAAAGTACGCATCAGCAGACTGATGCCACCAGCTCCATACAAAGCCTCGGTCTGACGAAGCTCGGAATCAACGAAGAGGTCAGAGCATCGCTATGCGCATAGACATACATGCCTACCTATCTACCTGCTTGCCTACCTACATACCTACATTACTGCATACATACATACACATACATACATAATACTACATATATCACCTGTATACATATATAGGCAGGTGCATATGCATGTGTACGCACGCAGACTGTATGTGCATGTCTCCACCTATCTTCCGATCTATCTTTATGCCTGTCTATCTACCTACCTATCTCTCGATCTAACTATCTTTATGTAGATGAATATGCCTTGCGTAATAAAGCTAACAGATGAGCTTCCTTGTTCGAACGACTACAGCAGACTTGCTTCCGGCTCTCTGTGTTTGGATCACTTGTCAACACCATAGAGCTTCTTGTCGTGTACAGCATGCAAGACCATCGCTGATCATGTCCACGCTTTGACAAGTCAGTTCTGCTGAGCCAAGCACTTGGCGACAAGCTTCGTGGCCTTCGGCTACGATAGCCAGAAAGCCTGCAACAAGGTGTCATCGAGGCGCAGGGGCCAGGGGCTTAGGGTTGGGACTCGCGAAGTGTCGTCATCGCACAATGCTTACACCTGTGGTCCTCACAAACCCTGCAAGTACCGCAAGCCTGGAATATCATCGCGTGATTTTATTGAACCTCAAAGCTACTTCAGCCACTCCAGGCCTGGGAACCTACAACCTGAACCAGCCTGAGCTCTGCTCTCATGTCTTCCTGTTCCTTCGCCTGGCCTGCAGCATAGGCACACAGCGTCGCAGCTCGAGGGTCGACCTGGGAGGGTTTGGGTTTCTCTTCCAAGGCTTGCAGGGCAATGCTTGGAAGCCTGGTGGGCGGCCGAAGATAGTTTTGGGAAACCCATCTGAATCTGCGATGCATGTTCTATGCAGGCTACACAAGCACACCAGGGTTCAAGCAGCGTGGGCGCAGCTCCAGCTGACGGTTCCTGCAGTCAAAGGATTCGTCGGAACTGTCGTGTCACTTCGCTGCTCTGATTTTGGGTCTCAACATGAATTCCCTTCCAAGTATTTAAAGGACATTCGTGGCATCTCGTGGCATGCTGGGTGCAATGACTTCAATTTGTTAAGCAAAAAAGCAAAAGGCCTACATGCAACCAAGCGTACACATGGATCAGATTGTACAAGTAACAAGGGTAATTGCTGTTAATCGATTGCGGAAGGTTGCCACAAGATGCAAGTTCTAAGGTCATAGGTTCTTTGTTTCTGTCGTTCTTGGCTGCATTATGGCATACACCCGCAAACCAGCTGTCTACAAATGCAAGCATGTGTACCTTCTGTACCCTGCTTCAGTCGGTGGGCCTGACGTGTGCGAAACATAACCCAACTCCAGGCGTGTTTCTTGAAACGGCACGCTCTCCGTCCTAAAGCTACAGGGTCACAGATTGTAAGCTTGTTTAAGAGATAACTTTCCTGTTGCAAGACAGGTGCTCAGAGGCCCTACTACTATCACGGAGACCGAACGATTTTTTGGACTCTTTATGACGTGACCCAAGAAGGCAAACTTAAAACGACTGCAACAGTTTAGTAGGGCTCCAGGAGACAATCTACGTTTCGACATACAAGCCGTGCCAAATAATCGGGCTCGGGTCCGCCGCGAAAGAAACTGGCCCTCTATTAGTTCTGCCCAAACATCGGCTTGGATGTCGCTTCCCACCATAAAACCTGAGAGCGCAAACCATGCACAATGGGCCCACCTATGCCGGCAGTGGGCTGCTGTCGTCCCTCCTGCACGAGCACCCCGATTTCAAAGCACAGGGTCTGAGGCTCAGGGGCGGTCGGAGAGAAGGATTCCGTGTGGACTACCATATGAACCCGAATCCCCCGCAGGCAGACCACAGCGGTAGCACTTGGCTACATCAACGCGGAAAATGGTCTTACCATATCTGGCAGTCGCCTTGGTTGGAGGCTGTGTTCTTGAGACTTCCTTCAGAGCTCGCTGAGGGTTTCTGGCCCCTGTCTCGTGCATCATATGACTAGAGCGACTGCCTCTGCCGCAACTGTATTTGTGACGCATATCGCGTAGCTATACGACCGTCCAAAATTTCAATCCGCGCATTCATTTCATCAGCGTCTAAACCTGCAGACAAAGGCGGGCATGTGACGCAAAGCCATTCAAAAGCACTACTGACTGCGTCTTCAGCGGACATCAATCTCGGCGACACGCGAATCCTGAATCGTGCCGACGACAAAGGAAAGCTAGCCTTGACACAAAGTCCCTAGTGAAAACTTGACACGATGTCCTCCAGTTTCAGTCTTTCCCATACCCTCGAAACCTAAACCAAAAGAAGGGTGTCTTTTTGAAGAGGTGCTAGTCAGGATAGAAACCTGTGGCCAAGGAGGATCCAAGGACGCCAAGCAGCACACAACTTTAAGCCGACCTGCCTCCAAGGCCGTCACCTGGCTTTCAAGTTCTAGGATCTAGCGCATAAGGCTGATATTTCAAGGTGTATAGGCTGTATAGGGCCTATAGTGGACTTACAGGAGGATTGCAGAGGTTTAGGGGCTCACGGGGCAAAGGTTTTGCAGTTTCGACTCGCGCATTACAGCTCCACAGTCTTCACTCAGCTTTGCGGTTCAGGGCTTCAGGGGTTTAGAGTTGCGGGGTGTTGGGGTTTGGACGAAGCATCTTGGACTTTTCGATTCTTTATAAGGGTGTTAAGGTGTTTATGTTGGGTTACGGGGTGCTCCAAACCAGGAGCTAGAGGATGGACGCCCGACATCTGCCAAAGCGACTGTCCAGGCGAGGCAAGTGGAAGCTTTACCAAAGCAATGTATACATATGTGTGTATACACACATAGTATATACTGCATAAATACACACAGACACACACACATATGTATATATATATATATATATATATATGGTACCCCCCCCCAGGACCTACCTCCAAACCCATCGGCCTACACACAGGATACCATACCCCATCACCTACGCACACACACACACACACACGCACACACACGCAACATGGACCTGGGTATACGAAGATTAGTGTATACGAACATGACTATACCAGAGGCCCGGCTGCATTAAAACCAGCATTAAACAATTAAAATTTAATGCAGCCCGGCCCGTGGAACCAAGAACCAAGATGCCCAGGAGTCTTGAATCCTGAATCTAGGGACATTTATGAAAGAAATGAGGAATAAAGGAGAACAGCCTGTAGAATACCTTACAGAATGACCTTTCTACAAACGGTAAATAAACTCATGTAGAATACGATGATAATACCTTATAAAATATTCTATATTCCCTATACACCTTGTACACCCAAGATCTGGGAGTTCGCCAGTTGAATGTGGTTTATTTGGCAATGAGCCTGATTTTCGCGCCTTGCATTGGAGAACCTATTCTATGCGAAGCCTTCTAAAGGTGCTACACCCGAGGTTCCAACGAAGTTATAAGACACGAAGCAACAACGGGGCTGAGGCCCGGAGAACCAGCAAAGGCATCACCCCGCCCCGTTTCCCTGCGAACTTGCGGATAGGACCTCCCTGAAATCTACACCCCTAAGATAGGGCTTTAATAATTAGAATAGGGTTCTGGGGCGCATTATGCTATAATCATGATAAGTAACCCCCAAAATAGTATTGGTAATTATTTAAGCCCTCACAGTAAACTCTAAACCCAGAACCCCTTAACCTCGGCTCCCATCAGCAAGGCCTGCTCCTGGAGCAGTTGCATGACCTTGTGGGCTCCGGCTACGGATTTCCCGAATGCCAAGCACGCAGCAAACACGGAGAGTCTGTGGAGATCGACACCTAAACCTCTCTCTCTCTCTATATATATATATACACACATATTTTTTTGCATATGTATGTATGTATGTATACATAGTGTTATACAGATCGACACCTAGATGCCTTCCGGAGGCCCATCATCCCGAACCTTAGCATGACCCCACCGTTCAACAACGCTTGTTAATTCTGGGCTTTCACGGCCCTTAATCATTGGAGTCGGATTTTAGGTGTTGATACTGTATTTATGATGAGGAACCCTGCAGTCCCAAATACCGTGCACTCTGAAATTATCCTGAAGATTGAAATCTTGCCCAGTTGCCAGCACAACACCACCCAGGAGGCGGACGAACTCCTGAACATCCAGGAACACGAAGCCATGTTGTTAATAGCATTTAATCAGTCAGTCAGTCAGTCAGTTCCGGGTCTCATCCTCATGTTCAAAGTACATAATGATCAGCACGGTTGCTGTTGCAAGTTTTCTGATTGGCAAGCAATGGCTATCACAGAGCTGCACCTGATTGTGCAGCAACGGTCCGAGCACCCTTGGTCAGTTTAGTTATAACACAGTATGGCATAGTAACAGATGCGATGATCTCATGCAACATAGCTTTAAGGTACTCAATGGAAGTTACGATGTATATAAAGTAAAAGTTTGTGGGCAGCCATTCTTGTGTTGGCCTGTTTCTAAGCAGTCTTTTTTGTTGGCCTGGTTTCTGGCGACATGGCCATGGCAGCTACTACAAGAACACCTCAGGCCTGCGTGTCTTTTTCAATGCAGTGCGGAGGGTACCGTCGAAGAATGTCGAAGAGCAAGTTTAAGCCACGAAGCCCTACCGACCTTCGTGCAGCATAGCAGAAGGGTATGGCGCAGGATATTGTGCTGCTCTTGCTGGCAGCGTTTCACAACAGCACGCTCTACGGCCCTCAAGCATCACAAGGTGTTTCGTGTTTGGCTGATGTAGAGCCGCATCCTGCAAATACGATGATCGCAGCTGAACACCTTGGAAGCTAGGGCTGTGCTGCAGCTGGGCTGATGGAATTTAACATACGCGGCAGCTGGGCTCAGAAATCATGCAGAGAACACTGTTGTCAAGCTCTCAATTGACTGCACCGCTTATCGTCTCCCACGTCGCAGTGTTCTCCGCTCTCCACAGACATATCTTGTACTGCGGATTCAACAACAAGGCACCAACTCTGCATGAAGGAGGACGGAATTAGATTCGGGAGATCTTGACAGCCTGGGGCGACGGAAGCTGTGAAACTCCACCCGAGGACCACGAAGTCAACTTCAACCTTGAACGACTCTAAACTTGCTAAGGTGAGCAGCATCCACAAAGAATCTTACTATCATTATTATTAGTATTACTGTTACCATTACTATTACTATTACCACTATTACTGTTATCCCGAAGCTAATCTCCTTCGCACGGTGCTGTAGCAAGCAGCTGCGGCTTCGCCGGTCTGCGGGATGAAAACCTGTAATGTAGGGGCCTGAATAATTAGAATAGGATTTGGGGGGACCATGACACTATATTTACAATAAGACGCCCCAAAAATTGTGTTGGTAATTATTTTGGCCCCTATAGTATGTAAGCCTCAGATGCCAGGAAAAGCCCAATCCTTCTACCCTCCGAGAAGTAGATCCTTCAAGGGGGCTCCTCTAAAGTACCCTTTAGTATGGTGGAAACCTAAAAAAAACTCTCACACCCCGAGCTCAGTTTTTCCCAGGCCCTCTGTCGGAACGCATCTTGTCCATGCTCATGCGACGTGCTCTTCCAGGCATGCAAGCTCGCAAGGATTGCATGCCCGCTTGCCTAAATGTGAATGAGGAAATTGAAGCTAGCAAGGCGCGGATTGGTCAGGAATTTGCCAGGATTTGCCAAAACCAGTTGCATCTATGTTGCACGGTGGACTCTACTTCTATGGATGCACCGTTTGGCGTCAAATTCAAAGAGAGCTGATTGAATGCGCAGAAATTTCTTTCAGGTCGTTCACGGGGGTATCAGGCGTAGAAAGCTAGTGTCAGCCAGAGGTCTTTCCATGCGAGAGCCTGGAACAGCTGCAAGATTTCGCAAAGGTACATCGGAAATATTCTGAAACCTCAGACTTGGTCCGAGAAGGCGTCCCCCTTGTAGGGAAGCCGATCCAAGCGCCAAAGAAGCCCATGGGGGAGCCTGTTCGGGCTTGCGGGAACTCGTCCCGAGCAAGGTAGGGCTTGAGATGGCTTTGGCTCATGCTTAGTTGAAAGCCCAAATCCCAAAGCCGAACCGCCAAACCGCAAGGCCCCATGGCTCTCTGCGCATTTACCTTTTTATCGATCCATCTATTTACCTGCCTATCCATCAACCCTATCTAACTATCTATCTACCTATCCAGCTAGCTGGCTAGCTGTCCCTCTATCTCCCTCTCCGTCTGTCTCTCGTGCTCTTCCTTCCTTCCTTCGTTTCTTCTGGTTCTTTGCGCTTCCGTCCTTCCTTCCTTACCTCCTTCCTCTTTCAACGCTATGGAGCCAGGTCCCTCTAGTCGCTCTGCCTCAAGACCGAACCTCTAACCTCCAGCCTTCTAGTCTGCAGCAGTCATGGTCGTGGCCCCCCAAGCTGTAATAACTTCATTGTCTGAAGGCCTTGAGCCCGAGTCCAACGGAAAACCGGTTTATGTGAAGCCAGCCCGGCCTCATCAGTTCAGAGCTCGTGCCTTGGCTTTAGACCTGAATTTCAAGCACAGTTCACCGGGCCTGACGAAGGTGTAAATACTTTGACTTGAGGCTCTGGAACGATTGTTTCCAAGGTCTTGGCAAGACTTCCTCGTGAACAAGAAGGATGCTTAGAAGCTGTGTGTGTGTGTGCGTCTCTGTGTGTTAGTGTGTGTGTGTGTGTGTGTGTCAGTGAGTGTGTGTGTCAGTGTGTGTGTGTGTCAGTGAGTGTGTGTGTGTGTGTGTCAGTGTGTGTGTCAGTGTGTGTGTGTGTCAGTCAGTCAGTCAGTCAGTCAGTGTGTGTGTGTGTGTGTCAGTGTGTGTGTGTGTGTTTGTGTTCCGATTCGCTGTGGCCTAGGCGCTGAGCTGGCTT